AGGGAAACTGTCTCTGTGGTCACAAGGCATTACAGAACTGTTGCCTTAAAATATAAAGGCTGACATTTTAAAACTTTGTCAAAAGTAAGCGCATATTAAACCCAACAAAAGGAATAATTTGGGGAGGTTTCCATCAATTTCTGATGCTTGTAAGCTTAGTCTGCAATAATTTGTAGCAAAAAGACATATATTGAACATGCTATTTTCATTGAAATCAGCACCACAATGTTCTTTAGCACATTGTTTCACTTTTCTAAAAACTCCCTTCTATTATTATTTATGTAAGAATGCATATTAAGGAAAACTCTAATTTGAATTTTATAATTTAAAATACGTGGTTTGATTTTCAGCATTAGCCAGCAAAAGGAAACAAAACTTTGAAAGTAAATACGTTATGAATGCAATCACAGGTTTTGAAAAGCAAGGAACACACAAGACTGCTGAAATGGTATGTAACAATACTGAGGATGAAGGTGTGCTTTTTCAACAAGAGGGTCTCTATAACAACTGTTGGAAAAATAAGACTTTAACGCATGTGTTAGAGGCTCCAGGGAAGCCTTGGGGATTTGGTATACTCCACATAGTTCTGCCTACTGGCAAAGATAATATTTTCTTTCCACAAAACCCCTTTTGCTGGCTTCCAAACTGGAAAAAACACCTCAGTGGAGAAATGTTTTATTTTACTTTGGATACTCTACATTAATGTATATTCTGAGCAATCTGGTCTGAATTCAGTGTTGATCCCACCTGGAGCAGAAGGCTGGGCTAGATGACTTCCCAAGGTCCTTTCCAATCAGAATTACTCTATGATTCAAAAGGACAGGAGTGCTGTAATACAGCCAGGTATTCCAGCAGCCTATTTTTAAGGATGTGTACACAGCTGGATAGGAAGGTATTAAACAGTTACCTTGGAATTTCCCTTAATTTGTGCCATATTAAGGTCCAGACAAGTGAAAAAATTTCTTCATGGATAAAATTAACATGAGAAAACAAAGGTTTAAAAAACATATGTGCAGAAATTAAGATAATCACACTGGCATATGTAACAGTAAGCTAACTGTTATTTCTACAGTTCTTTTTTCCCCCTCAATCTGTATGCAATCAGCACTTGACTTTAAGAGTCCTTTTCTTCTTACTGTCCAGATCAATCTGGGGTTTATTTGCTTCCAAACCCTCACCATTCTTTCTTCACGAAGAGTTATCACTACTTGTTCCCCTCGTCTTTGGAAACACTAATGTCTCTACCCATGGGCCAGTGCAGCTCTCACCTGCCCAGACAATAAACAACTATTCTTATTCTTGGCACACGCAAAACCAAATTTACAGAATCACAGAATCATTAAGGTTGGAAAGGACCTTTATGATCATCAAGTATAACCATCAACCCATTTATAACCTACTGAGACAGAAAAATATTCTCTTCTGTATAGGACCGCACAAATCCTAGGATGATGAGACACTGAACGTGTATTTCATATAAAAATGTACATTAGTAATCGTATTATGTACAAACACAGTAGAAGGGATGAATGCATTACACAGTCATTATTGACTTCTGCATAACTAATTACTACTGTACTTCACCTTAGTCATTTTGGGGATTATAGCAAATTTCACTAATGTGTCTTTGAGGCACACCTCAACATAAAGAGTAAGAAAATAGGGTATGATTATTCAATGTTACCGAATTATTTTATGAGTATGCATACATAAAAATAAAATTTATATACTTAAAATTTAAATATTCATATGCACAGGTTAAAATATTAAGAAACTGCAGGACAGCCAGTGTCCAGTTATGTACTGAGTATGTTACGTACAAAATGTTAAACCAGCAATTGCGACATTTCTGGCATACTCACCATCCTTACCAGGGTGCCATGATTTTCCAAAAATGGAAAAAAATTATTGCTGTAATAAATGCCCCTGCACAATGTCATATGTACAATCTACACTGCATAGCCTTTACACTCAAGAAAGAACCAAAAACTATTTGGTGAGCATCTAACAATCTAAGGAAATTTCCAGACAGGTTTTCAATTATTTTGATTAGTTAAAATAAAAATATTCAGCATAACATATACAGCCACATTAATAAAACAGACATTGTTATTTTAAACACGGTAAAAAGAAGTATTTTCTTTATTATACTAAAAAAGTCTAGCATATGTCAAGACTCTGAATGCTACATTTTTACCTAGTACGTATCTAATTTTATAGATTCTTTTTCACTGCCCTTCAAGGACCATACAGCATTCAGAGTTACACGAAACATTTAACTTCTCATACTTAATAAAAAATTCTATTGTAGCAGCTATGGCAACTATTTGTAAATAGCATCGTGAAAGCACAGAAGAACTTTTCATCATCTTTGGTGTAAAAACCTTGCACTTTCTGGAAAAAAGTTATTAATTTCACCTACCTCCATAATCATAATTCATTCTCTCTCACTTGTACTGTTTCTCTCAGCTGGAAACGATGACAAAGCTAGTAACATGCAATTAGCAGCTCACTGAAGAGCACAGTTTGAAAACATATGGTTTAGAAATCACTGACTACATTTTCCTTGCAATTCACCTATCAGCACACTGCACAAAGAATAGAAAGGGCAGAATTCTGCCCAACTGAACTGAATTCAATTGAATTCAATTATGACAGAGCTGGAATGAGTAACATTCTAATGAGATTTTGTCCAATTAAAATGATACTCTATTGAATAAAGCATTCATATTAAAACACTGTATCTTGCGTTGCATTAATTTTCAATCTTGTTTTTTCAACCTGTTAACAGTTTAGTCCACTCTAAAATTTATTCATCATTACTCATTATTTCTCCTCAAAGAAACCTTTGTTACTCTCGACTCAGGTTGTTTACCTTTGTATTTAAAAGCATATTCCCGGTCAATTGCTCCAATTTAGAAATTACAAATAATTTATAAAGTCATTGAACCAACTCAGATCTAGTATTTGAGTGCTCTGCATTGAAGACAAATTTCCATGGATGTTATTTACCTTTGATGCTCTAAAACAAAAGGCAGTAGATGCTGTGTCTGACTTTTCTCTGTCTAACATTGCAAGTCCTTCATCTTCATTCAGAGCCAAGTACTTTCCTGTTGTAATATGTCGAAGACGGAAAGGCTGTCCCCATCTGACATTACTTCCACTCCAGCTAAATATATGAGACATAAAAAAAATAATTATGAAGTAAGCAAAACTAATATTTCTGTTTCAGGCCGTGAAGGATGCTCAGAAAACAGAATGTGCTTTATATATTCCTTTTTGCTTTTGATTTCAATATTTGCATTAAAACAGATGCAAAACTGTTAACGCATTTGCAAACGGAACCCTGGAAAGGAGTATAGCTTTGATTTTCTTGTTTCTATAACCTCTCTCTGTTTTATTATGGTATGACATACAGTGTCCATAAAAAAATCTTCCATGTTTCTGAAAAATATACTGAAGTCTAAATTAACTACTGTATTTCAGTTGACTGCCTAAACAAACAAAATAAACCTAAGTGAGGTCTCAGCATTCCAGAGAATTATCCTACACCTCTGTTAGTTATGAGGGCAGACATTTGCAATCACAAACACACCAGGAGTAAAACAAACATAGAGTTCAGAAGGCCGTTAAAGCTAAAACATGTATACCCTTATGGTATAAATTGAAATGTCACTTGCAACAAGTTAACAGATAAACAGATAACTAATCACCTAGGAGGGAGATGAAGTTTAAAAAAAAAAAAAAAAAAGACAATCATGAAGGATATTACTGTTCTGATTTCCACTGATGCTTCTAAAATTCCAAATGAAAACTAGGAAAGCATTTTACTTTTGGACAGAAGCAATGTCTCAAGCACATGTATTTCATGAGCAACTCTGCTTTTGATATGGGACACAGACAATAAAAAAAAGTATTCTTAAAATACTGACATTCCTCCTATGATTGTATTATGGTAGATTACTTTTCATTATTGACAATGAACATACTAACATATACAGCAGGACAAATATATTACTCATGTTCTGCCTTCAGGGTCTGTAACAATCGAACTGCTGTTAACAAGAGTTGCTAACAGCAAAGTTCAAAAAATATCAGTACCTTATTCGAAGGGGTTCTACTCTCCACAAAGACCTTGCTCGAACACCAGCTCCTCCGGTTTCATAAAGTACTCTCCTAGAGAAAAGATTCAGAAAATCACCCTCTTGAGTTTATTTCTGCTGTATAGTTTTTGTAACTTACTCCTCTGAAAACTGTGTAGGACTCACTTCTCCCCAGCTGGATGGGGAGATGGAGTTGTTTGGACAGAAGATTCCTAGTCATCAGTGAGAGCACGATACACAATCTGAGTGTTCCAGGTGAGACAAGCTACTTCCATTAAGCTATTCTCTCTCAGGAGTTGTAAAATACTTCGCCTTCAAAGTGTCTGAGAAACTTTTGCTGTTACTTCATCAGTCATAAAAATATGTCATTCATATGTAATTCCCAAGAGATTAATATAAATTACTAATGCTCTGAAAAACATATAAACACAATATTAAAATAAGTATACACATTTGCATGCATTAATAATTATCTGCATGAATACAACATCAGAGACTTCACTCCCAGAATTACTTTGAACATTCTTGTTAAAAGACAAAAATGGTGGTGATAAAACAAAAATTTTGTAGTGTAATCCTTACAAAACAGATAATATAGATAGAAATATATATTAATTTTGGGAAACTCAGAGAAATAAAAAACAGGAAGTTGAGGGACTCAGCCTTTAACATAATCTAGTTTTCTTGAATTACTGGCTGGCGGTTAGTGACATGTTTCAGTGCGGAAACTAACATTCTACTCAGTAATCAAATACAAACAAACTATGGTGGATTAGTCATGTTCACAGGAATACATGTAGATAGTTTTTCAGCTTTCAGTAATCACTCATGTTTTGTCACCTAAGCACCAGAATCTGTATAACCTTCCTAATATATAATGGATACAGGAAACACAACGGATTATAGGAAAGGTCTTGATCTGAAACTCAGGATACATAGAACCTGTTTAGAATTCTTCTCGTGCAACTATGGGACCTGTGAAATGACCTCAGCTTGTGAAACGAAAGTTGTGTTTTTCTTATCTGAGCAAGTGTTTCTACAATTTTTCTTCTCCTAAGAACACCTAAGGTTTCAATGCATCTGCTTCTGAATATACATCAACATGTTGAAGGCATGCAAGGAATGAAGCTGGGGGTATTGTTTAGTCTCTGTGAGCAGTTAACAAGGTGTAACCTTGAGGGAAGGAACAAGATAATCACAAAAGAAACAGAGCTACTCAACCTTCAGTGAACTATCCTAATTAACATCTAATTATCATATAATATGCATAATAGAAACCTGTCCCTGGGCAGGGAAAGCCCCCTCGTCACAAAAGCCCCTTCCTCACTGAGGATGCCTAGAAAAAGAGAAGGATGCTGTGGCTTTAAGTGGAGACGAGGCTTGTGAGAACCAAGGGGAACAAAGGTAATGGAGCCAACTTTTAAAAAACCCTGAAAACTGTTGCTCAAAGTGTATAAATATTTTCTGCCTGTTAGCTGAGGTGCTAGCTTTGTGGACCTACCACCTAGCACCCAACTGCGCAGATTTGGAATAAAAGCAAGTATCTCGGCTCTATGTGTTTTTCAGCGCTCTGCACACTGGGTGGAAGAACCCATATTTGGGACAACAAATACACTCCAGGAAAAATCTATATATTAACATGAAGTATACTGGAGTGTGACAAACCATTTGTGTCCAGTATCTTTATAAGATGATGGACTTGGAGATCTACAGCTGTACATTATTTAGGAGTCACATTTAAGAACACACATGTGATTTCAAAAATTTAGAAATTATAGTGCACCACAACAGCAAGAATATATATTCCTCCTAGTAAAGATAGTAGCATTTCCTACATATCTTGTCTTCCATAATGATGGTTTTAATACTCTAGACTCAAAATACAAAATGACAACAAAAAATGTACAATCAATTAATCTTCATTTCCAGACTCTATGAATACAATCTTTTGAGGTCCCTTCCAACCTGGGCTTTCTATGATTCTATTAATATGCTGAATAAACAATTACTGTCTAGAGTTTTTCTTTTCCGTTTTCATCCTTGATTCTCTTTGGTCCCATTCATCTTACTGATGTTACTTTTGGCAGACTTGAATGACCTCTTCCTAGCTAAGCTCAAAACTAGTAATTCATTTCCGTTCTCTTTGACCTCCTTCATTTCTCCTTGGCCCAACTCAACCACTCCTTCACTGAAGGAATACCACAGATATGTCTCTGTTCAGTTTTTATACTTCTTAAATTCCTATACTACTTTAATTCCTATACTACCCTTTTCCAGCTTTTTCTATATGCAACACTGTACTAGCATTAGTGACCTGCTCTTTAGGTAACAAAACTGCAAGTAAAAGAGAATTGCTGCTTTTTCACAACAGCATCCACATAACAATTTCTTCATCTTCTCCTTGATTCCATCCATCCATTCTGAGTTTTTGCCAAGCCTGTCTTTTTGATGTTCAACAAGTCCATCCCCTGTATTTTCACTTGACCTGTAATAAAAGACCTTAAGATTCTTGGCAGAGAATACTCACTGTGTGAATTGTAAAGAAGCATTCTCTATAGAAACCTTCAGAAAATTTCATGTCTATTTTATGAAAAGAGACATTATCACTCTTGTCTAACTTAGCTTATTTAATAGTCCTAATGGAATGCATAAAACTGATTAAACAAAGAGATGGAAATAAACACAACCATTTTCTACACCTCTTTCTTCTGTTCCTATTGCTATTTGGGTTTTTTTCATATATTCATTTTGTTGTGTATAATGTAAACATGACTCCTAGAACTATGACACAGTACAACCTTGGCCTTGTGTCTATTATGCAGCTCACAAATCCAAAAGATAGGACAACTCCAAATCATCAATCTTAGCACACTGTATCACATTTGAAAATGTTGAATATAGCATTCACATTGTTCTTCTATTTTAGGAATATAAATACATAGATTCTGTTCAGAAAAATAAAACTTTTATTTTACCCTTTTATTTTTCTTATTTTTATAAGAAAATGGAAGCAGAGGTTCAGGCAATAACAATACACACCAAACACATATTATGAACAACAACATACAGGGCAATAGGACTCCACAATTATTTTTGGTTTTAGCTATATCTGACTTCTAGTTAAGTAACAACAGCAGGAAAGTACAGCATTTCTGAGCATACTGAAAAGGCTTGATACCTATTCTAACCTTATTAAGACTGGTTGTTTACAAAAACAACCTGAATATGACATCTGTTCCACACAAGGAATCCTAACCTTAATACTTTCGCTAGTTATTTTTATACTAGGTGTGCACATCTTCACACTCGGTGCAAACTCTGTATCTTTTTTTTTCTACACACATATGAAGGGAACAGTAATAAAAAAATTCACTAACAGGTGAAGTTTTCTGACATTCAGTTTGGGTTTTCTTTAGGCTTTGAAGACATTTTTACTGCATAGAAATGTAAAAATGGAAAAATTAGAGCTAAAAAAGTTTACTCGACATAACGGAATGTTACTTGTGGTATTGTATTACCTACCGCATAACTTATTTGCTACAACGGGTATGGAGATCTTATTTGTTGAATATGATTTTTAATGCTGGGGGTTTTGTGTATCAAAATTATTAGCTTGCTGTGCTTTTGATTATCAGCAAAATGCAAAGATAAATTCAAATAACAAATCAACATCATATATAAAAACTGTAGATTTACATTTAAAACAAAAGTGACTTAGTCTAGCTAATATGATTTAATTATCTTAACATATTAATCAAATTTGAGAGAGCAAGAACTTGCAAAAAGGTGCAAAACAGATAAAATATGAAAGTCATTGTAGAGGCTGAACTTTCAAAGATTTTTTTAGGGCTTCTTTTTTTCAAATTATCATCTTCCCTGCTAACGCTTGCATATCTCTGCTTATAGTACTACACATTAAAGACAAATAACATAACAGGCTGAAATCTCAGTGGAAATCAACTACTCAAATTGCAGCTCATGACTGATTTTCTGCTTAGGAGGTTTCAACTTCTTCTAACAGTGTTACTGCATAATTAAAGATTGCTGTAAAGAGTGTTTATCCTATCTAACCTCAAATTCAACTGACAATGAACAATCTATTTCTTTTTTGTGAGAAGAAAATGCATAAAAATGCATCATCACTTACTTGTGCTGTGAACCATTCTGATCTGTAGATGGAATTGTCAAACACTCATCATGGCCATGGAAAAAACGTACTACATGCCCACCAAGAAGATACCCTACAGAAGAAGCACATTTACTCATTAGCTTAAATATTGACAATATGAAAATAATGCCCTCAAAAAATACTATAAAATTCAAAAGACCTCGGTGAAATCTGTTTTACAAATTTTCACTCATAACTGAAATTATAAACTAAAAACAAATTTAGTGTGACAACATATTCTTTTTAGAATCTTCTTCAGTTAAAAATATTTCTGAAAATTAAGACAAAGAGAAAATGATCTCTTAACATTTAAAAATCAAATTAGGATTCTGGGACAGAAAAGGAAAAGAAAAGCTTCTCCAACAATTACTGTTTTGAAAATTGAATGCTTTAGGTAAAAGCCAAATCAAACATGTAGTACCACAGTTTCCTCCCCTTTAATGCAATTTAAATGTTCTCAATAGAAAATAATTTGGTGAGTTCATCAGTTTGTTCTGACATTTATAATTTGTGTCAAAGTCAAAACTGCACAGTAGCAGCAGGAGACAGAGGACAGAAAAACACTTAGCAGTTCTGAAGATTAAGTTTAATGGAATCTAACTTTCCAACCCATTTAACACAAAGACTACAGGTCAAAACCAGGCACTTTTCCTCACAGAAAAAAAAGAAAAAAATGGTGTAGGAGGAGCATGATTCATCAGACACTAAGTCCAAACTGTTCTGACCTTGTAAGTGAAATTAATGCCTTTTAAAAGAACAAACACACATAAAAGAGGAAGGGTGGAAGGAAACTTTCATATTGTGTGGCCAATTCAATATAAATTTGTAAATTAGGGAAATGGTAACTGGCAATTATCCTGTTGTCAGTTAATAAAAAAGTCAAAGCAAAGAAAGAATGCGGAAAAAATACACTTTCCTGATATCCATGTTCTGTCAAAAGTACTTCAAACATCACAAAAAGTATGTTGTCCAACTTCTAGTCCAATTTTAGACTCAGGAAATCCCACTTTCTCAGTCTGTCCATTCAACTTGAGCTACACTGCTAAGACTGGACATATCAACCCCCTTTTGATCATCCCTCATATAAGCCATTCTGAGAAGTGTATATACAGCTAAACCTAAGCCTAAGCAGTTGTGAAAAAAAGACACACAAAAAACCTACTTCTCTGCTTATCTCACCCTATCCTTTTTTTTTTTTTATTATGCAATTTCAGATTTTATGTCCAGTTCTCAGCTACACGGTATAAGGGTTCCAAGTACTGCAAATGGCCACTAAGATGATTAAAAAACTCATGCATCTCACACATGAGGAAAGACTGAGAGAACTGTGACTGTTTGACCTAGAAAAGAGAAGGCTCTGCGGGAGGATCTCACCAATGTAGAGGACAGAATCAGGGTCTCATCAGTGGTGCCTAGTGACAAGACCAGAGGCAATGGGCACATACTGAAACACAGGAGGGTCCATCTGAACATCAGGAAACACTTTTTCATTGTGAGGGTGCCTCAGCACTGGCACAGGTTGCCCAGAGAAGTTGTGGAGTCTCCCTCCTTGGAGATATTCAAAAGCTGTCTAGACATAGTCCTGGGCAACCTGTTATAGGTGGCCCTGCTTGAGCCGGGGACTGGACCAGGTCCAAGCTCAAGCACTCTGTGATTCTGTAAGCAGTTAGGAAATTTAGCTGCCAAATCCCTGCTGTTACAGAAGTCTCAAATATACCATTGATCTTCCATGATGTCTCTGTGTAGCTCATTATGTTTGTCATATGTTATGTTTTTCATTTACTGTAGGATGGCTTTTCTCTTTGCTTAGTTTTCTCTTACCTGTGAAACCTGAGAACATGGGGACTTTTCCAGAGTTAACCTCTATTCTATTTAGGACCATGATGGCTGGGGACCAGACAGCCATTTATAAATATACAGCTCCAGCATAATACACTTCTTGCAACAGAAAGCAAATCAGAAAGTATTACAAGGAAAATCCATATGCCACATGCTCTTAAAATGAAAACGTACAAACACTCCAAGACAAGTTCCTTATGGGCCAGTGCACAGAAACACTGTGGGATGCCAATTTAAACTACCTGGGGTTAGAAGGACCCAGCCATAGTTCAGGTAAGCCTGGTGACTGTTAAGTCTTTAGCACCAGGGTAAGTCTACTTCTATGAAGTAGATTCTTCTATGAAGAATCAGTATAGCTGATTCCAGGAAAATGCAATGTCACTTTCAGGTCCCTTATAGCTCCATTTTATCTTATGAACCTGTATATTATTATAGCATAAGTGATTAGTTCTAAGGCCAAGTGATGCAAAATGATCCTGACTTAAAGACATTTGCTATTCATGAATGTGGAGGTGTATAACAGGAGGGTTGATACTTCGAACAGAGAACAGCAGAGCTAAAGTACAATGTTTGTTATGACAGTGATAATGACAGAGTATGGCATTGAAATAAGGAGAAATATTGAGTGGATGAGCCTTTCATTACAGAACAAGACATCTCTCAAACAGAGTAAGGTGATGCCTCTCAACCATGGTTGTAAAGTGCAGTCAAGTACCTAGAAAGAAATCCTGACCCTGCGGCTTGGCATTTAAGGCTGATTAAGAGGATGCATCTAGAGAGCTCATTTTCACTGACTATTACAGAGAGACAATAAGAAGCATGGCTGTGAGATCCAGAAAGGATATTGAGCAAATTTCCTTAAAAAACACAACTAAGAGACTGAAATAGGAACTATGAGAAACCTGCTTTCCATTCTGCATGTACCTTTATCTCTCTTCTGTTATCTGTCTCAGAGTGATTGAAAATCCTATACAAAATCTAAGTTTACTAGCTTTAGTTATTCTGCAGCTCCTACTCCTCAAAATTAAAATGAAGACAATTAACTCATCTGTTGCCCTCTCAGTTTTCATTTCTCATGCAGCTTTTTATGCTTTGCTATTCTAAAGTTACAGCACTTATTTAGCTTTTCTTCAGTTAATCCAGCTGATAGATCTGTACTTCCTTCTTTCCCCTTCCATTATTCTTCTCTCCTATGCTCATTTGCTTTATTAAGCCCTTTGGTTTGATGTTATGATGGTGAGGTTTTTTCATTTTCACTCTTTATGAAAAACAATACAAAGTCATCTAAAGTATATGCATTTCTAAATAGATAAAATGACAAACCTTCTGTAATATTGCTTCCTGAGCATGTAGGATGTACATTCCATAGCGTCTGCATAAAGGAGGCATCCACCTGAGTACTTCCATTAGACATGGAGAGATGCTGAAATAAGACCAAGAGCAACAAGACACAGTGAAATTTACACACTTAAAAATATTTAGTATATTAATTTCTCAACAAAATAGAAGTACATAATAAAGTAAATACACAAATATTCTTCAAAAATTAGTAGTCACTTGCTTTTAAAATGAACTCCTTTCTAAATCTAATCAGCAGATTCTAGCTTAGAAATATTTCACAGTTACAGAAATAAAAACTTCCCAAGATGGAGAATGCTGAAGTACACCTCAGGATAAAGGTATGGAAACAGGCCTATTCGGTGGGGGAAAAACCTTTTACTGAGGAAAAAAAAAAGTGCATTACACCCAGGCATTATTGCATAGATTAGAAAAACTTTCATTCATAGGAATCTCAACCATTTTCCCCAACTCCTGACAGCACTTTGTATTTTTCCACCACGTGTCCACTTGCTAAACAAACATACCAGGTATCTTTCAGAGGACACACTGACCAGGATAAGATCATCACCTATTCGAACCTTCTCTCCTTCTGACCTTTGTTTGGAAGCAGGGTGTATTGTCCACCAGCATGCCTCACCTAAAAGGACAGAGATTCTTACTAAGGGTATACAAAACAGACAACTCCCAAGAAATTTAAGGATATATTTATACAACATTGAAATAACATATTGAAGAGTTGTGTCTTATAAGACATCCACCTTATAAACCCACCTCATTCCTCTTTTCAATCCATTTGAATTTTTTTCTTTTTCCTTGAAACTTTTTGTCAACCACTCTTTTATCATCACCGAAGCTGATATTTCTCTTTTCATGTTTTCTTTTAAAGCAACTGACCATTTACAAAACACTGCTCAGAGCTGCCCTCCCTTCAAGGCTCTCACTACCAGTAAATTGCTGACAGCTACCTCAGTCTTAATTATCACCTTTTGCGTCTTCTTTTGCTTCATGTTCACACTTAATTCACAATCTTCTGTATCATTTCCACTTTAAGCTACATTTATATTGTAGAATACAGAATTTTGAATCAAATAGTCCATAACTTTACAATATTGCTACACTACAAATATCAGTTCTGGGACCAGTTGCATTAGCACAACAGATCACATGACTACAGGACAGCCAAGCCTAAGGGTAACAACCACAGAATATTTCCTACACATTAAATATAAAATTCCAGATTACTTTGCACACAAGGCCCCCCGCCTCGAATTCTGAGAAGACTACCTAATTCATTCCACAATTTCACACCCTTCAGCGTGTAGTTAATACCCTGAAGAGAACGAGTTAAATACAGCTTTCTCACCGGACAATGCAAAGTGGGAGTAAATTAAACACAGGCAAAAAGGGTAGCGTAAGACAAAGCACAAAAATCTGTTTGATGAACTAAGAAATTTCATGTAAAACCTCATTAAACAAAATTTGAAGGTTACAGAGACAATAATAAGGAGACAATAAATGAAAGTTACATCCCTAAAAGTAAAAGTGTATAGTGCTAAATCTTTAAAAAGATAATAATTTTAAATATCCAGTGGCTTTTCACTTAATACCTGCTACGTAAAGAATACTTCCTGCAGCTGAAATTGATTCAACAGGACAAGTTCATGGGTGGGGGAGTAGGGCAAGGGGAAGTGATATTATGGTGTTCAGTTTATGAGGTTTACAAGCATGCAGTAGTTATCAAAATCCTCTGCGCAGAAACACAACTAAGCATTCCTATTATGTATTATTTTTGTATCTTACCTATGTGTACAAGCGTCTTTTCGTATATGTACAGTTAAGCAAATACCAGTGTGAGACAACTACTGACATCTCTTAAAAAAACCTCAGGGGCACAAGCAGACACATTCACAATAACTCTGAAAAAACTATGAAATTATAAAGACAGATTTCACTGAAACTATTTGCAAAGAGATAGAACACAAAAATTCTTTTATCAACAATCCTAATGAAAACTGTCTCCACCTAAGGCACCAACCAAAGATATAATCAAGCAACAGGCTACTAATAACTGTCTGAGACAATCTTCTGTATGTCTACGAACAACTAAAACACAGACTTCTGTCATTCAAAACAGAAGGTCATGCAGATAATCGAGTTGCCTGAAAAAGAGGTTTCAAAGGTCATGTTCCACAAACATTTTAACACCTACATTGGCGGTGCCTCCCCATCATCAATTAGTATATTTTGATTTTAATTTAATTCCAAAATAAGGAAAAAACCAACAGAAAGCACAGGATTATATTAACACAACTGACATTTCTTTATTTGAAGCTCCACGTTAATGAGGTGTGTATACAGGTACTTAGATTTTCCCTTCAAGGTGTATGTCTGGGCCTGAGTACTTCAGAGTCACCTGTTACTTCCTGATGAGTACTAACCACTTTCAGTAACCATTAACACTGTGTATACAGCAGCACATAAACCTGTTTGTGGCGCTCTGGCTGAGTTGCTTTTAAATTCATTTAACATAGCTTCCAGTAGCATCTCATAATGTATATGTGATTTCATGGAAACTCAATTTTTTTTTTTTTTTTTTAACTACATTTTTGTCAGCAGCACTGTTACTGGCGTAGTCCTGGAAATCTATTAGTTAGATTTTAAAGCTATTCTGTCTTTTATTTTTTGTGTCATATCTCTTCCACCCTGTCACATTATTATTTTGCTCCCTTTTATGCTTTTATTTTAATTCAGCTCTTTTAGCAATGTGCTCATTACTTTTTTCTGTTTTCCTGCACCCTAAATTGCATATTTCTTTTGTTGCATGATTACAATATATATTGTGAATGCATCGATATATGCCTTCTCCATACTCTAATTCTATTGAAAGTGCCAAACCATAAATAGAAATACAAATAGAAAACAAATGCATCAAATCTATTTTATTCAACAGAAATTTTTTACTTTGACCACTATCACCAATGTAATTGCAGTTGTGGTAACTCAATTTAATTGCAAGGCACTCTCACATTCTTATGCAAAGTCGGTTAATTTACTGAAAGTCATCAGTATTGACAGTCATCATTTACTTTCAGTCATCTTATTTCTAAAGGAACACATAAACATGACATTCATAAGCTTCAGTGCCATTAATCTCAATGCCTCTTCTAAAAACAGAAATGTGCGACACGTTTTCCTTCAAAAATAACTTGCTATACCTGCTGCATTTTCTCGTAGTCCCACATCAAATGCAAGTTTATCCGTCTGGGATCTTGATGACGTTAAACATGTCAAATACTGCAAAACAGTGAAGGTATTGAAAACAAAAAAACCAACAGCATCCATTAACACACATGCCAAATTAATACATTTGCGTAACTCCATCTTACCATCAGCCTGTGCTTAATTTTTTTAAATTGGTGAAGCATGGTATTATTTGTATACAAGCTCTTCCTGACTTTAAAACATCAAAATCCTTTTCCACTTCAGCACGTGTTTCTCTGTGCAATTCACCTCCTACCTTCCCAAGTTTCACGTAGTTCATCAGATAGGAACGGGTAAACATCTTATTACAGTGTTACTGGAGTAAGTTTGCTTCATGAAAACATAGCAAACACATCAGAAGGCAGTAATCATACTTGCAACTCTGGTATATCAAGGCAACTACAATTTGTATCATTCATAAACATAAGTAACAGTTTAAAGACTAGTGCAGAGTCTTCTAGTACAGGAAAACGGAAAGAAGATGTTTCCTTCACTTCTCATTTCTCCAACCTCTTATAAGTATATTTGCATGGGCGCTAAGAAGTCAAAGATCCAGAACAGTTAAAATTTTCCAATTGTACAATGTAGTGAAAAAAATGTTTATACAAGGTAGCCTGATGATTTATGGGCATAGTCTCTGGGAACTATGGGATGTTAGAAGGAACACCTTATTTTACAAAATATGATGGAAAAAATAACACATATCACAACAAATTAATATGTGATAGTAACAACTTGCTAATGGACTTATCATTAAAATGGATTCCTTAAGGACACAGAAATAATCAATGGATAAAGGAGCTTTTTAGCTACATTTGAGTGAAATGGATTGAAGAATCTGAATTTAAAATATCAAGGCCACTTCCATTGTGTTGAGACAACACAAGCTATTCAAATTTTTTATCTAGTGCAGAAGAGAACTTAGAAAGAACATTCTTCCAAATTTATGTATTTTTTATTTTGATGAAAAGATGTTTACCCGAGTTTCATGTTACTCATTCTGTGCAAGTGCTCTTTCACTTACCATTTCACTAAACGAATGTCGAAGTAGTATAGCATGGCCATACAGCAGGGTTCTGTGACCACCCCCTTGAGCTGCCTACAGAACATGACAGAGAAGGTCAGAACTCCACTGCACTGCATGGACTACGATTAGCATTATGTAACAACATGAAGAGCTACTACAGTTCAAGTAATAAGTGCAAATATTCAAGCAAATTATGAAATGTATACTCTGGGCAAAAATCATAATAATGAAGTAGCTACAGCCAAATATCTGCCAAGGGAACAAATGTTTTTCTTCATCAAATACTATTATTGTGACCTAATTTTATTATAATTAAGTAAAACCACAGCATTTTCAAGAAAATATTTTAAATTAAATAAGATATGACTTACCTTTCTTATAAACTTCTCAGAGGCATTAAAAAAAAAAAAAGAAGTATATATACACATACACAAACTGAAAACTGAAAGAGGAAAAATGCACCTATTGCCAAGAATAGTTAAAGCACATACTAACGATACCTGCTTGCTAGGATTAATGTCATCTTAAGCATTTATCAGATTTATTAAAGCAACTGCATCCATAATTTCAACCAAGCACAGTTATTAATTTTGAATATGGAAATTTATTACAAGATCAGGGAGAGGCCTGATACGCCTCCTTTACAGAATTTAACATGAATATTTTGAGGTCCTTCTGGTGACCAGAAGAAAATAAATTCCAGTGGAAGAATCTTAACAAGAAGGCTACCTATGGAACAACAGCCAACAAGCTTTATAGGTTTTCAAGTCTTCCTCTCTCAGCCTTTTTATGCATCTACCATCTTATTCCCTAGTTAGTTATAAACAACAAGCCTACCCAAACTTACATAAATCATATGACCAAGAAATTAAATTCTCAATTTACTGTGTTATCCACCGACACTAAGATTTTTTTTTTTTTTTAGATCCTTGATCCTAGACTGTATGAAGCATTTTTTTAGGAAAGTGATCTCCAAATTTGCAGAATTATGGATATCATGATAAATGTTAATACTCGTTATACTATGGTGGGCTACTTTATACTTCATTTTTTTCTCTCAGTCCAGATCATAACATTTGCACCTGGTAAGTCTTCAGTAATAATAAAAGGTCTAACACCAGGATCCTGATAAGAAGTATAGAAACTTAAGAATATCTAACTTCTCACGTAATTGCTTGAAATTGCTCACACACAAACAGACAGACCTTTGTTTCCATTTAAAAGAACATTTACTTTACAGTCTTCTTGTTTCAGGTATATTTAGGCAATCATTAAATACGAAACATGATTCTCCAAAATATAACACCGTCACCTTTTGCCAAACAAAGAGCTTAGAAGTTCTACAAAAAATACAGTTCTTAAATAACTTTCTCAATAATAAATAATGTATAATAAAGTGCACGGGGGTTTTTTGGCATCCTGATTGCTTGAGTGTGGAAGTCCTCTTTCAGTCATTCTAAGTTTATCTTAGATTTGAAGTGATAATTCAATTGAAACTTTAGTAATATGGCATACAAGCATAGTTACAACATTTCACTTTACTGCAAAGTCACTTTACACTATACTGTCAGCATTCTAGTAAGTATGCGTGTGCTAATATAGTAAAAGATTAAGAAACCCAAGAAGAGAATTTGGAAATAACTAACAGTTCTTGCTTGTTACCACAGATTAAATAACTTGAAATTATACTGAAACAGTTTAGTTACACGACTAGAAAGAAAAATATCGTATTTTTATATCTGAATTAAAATAGATTTAAATTTTTCACTTTGTTTCATTGATAGGACTTCATTTCTAGCTGTTAATTTCATGCAAGGAGAAATACAATTAAATCTAAATACCTGAAGTACTTTCTTAGCACAGTGGAATGAGATAGAATATTTACATAATGAGAAAATTATTTTGCTTTCACCATGAATAAATAGCACTATAATACAATAATGCTTTATGGCAATGATTTACATTTCAGAAAAAACCTCTCACATACTCTCCTCAGGTTCATAAAAGCCAGACTCAGTCCAAGGGTACTCGTATTCCTTTTTCAGTATCCAATCCTGGACGGATAGTAATAAATGATCTCTGAAGATGATGCTTCTGGCTTTTGTAAATATTTCAAAAGACTAACTGCACCTGCTCCTTAACACTAAAGAGAAATTAGTATGATTATAATACTGGAACAATAATGTCCCAGGAAAACAAGAAAACGGAAGAATCTATGACATGAGGCCCCACTCCTAGAAAATCCTGGAGCAAGGAAAGAAATGAGAACAATCCATATTCAGAAATTTATTATCTTTTATGTCAATTTACTTACCCCTTCACTAGCATTATCCCCTGTGTTGGCCAGCATTTCTTGAAGGGCTCTGACAGATAGGGACTGTTCAAGGACAAAATTACAGATACAAAGGTCTGGAGGAACATACTGTAAAATTAAATTAAACAGTGTAAGAACAGATGAGCAGAGCAGGTGAAACAGGATGAAAAGATGAAAACACAGATGCATTTTAATTTAAAAACCCATACTTAATGTTTACTCATTTGTTTTTGAGATACGTGCTATTTCTCTGTATGAAAATAATATAAACCCTTTTTTGCCAGTGCAGTAACTTTACTTTTCCTAGAGCTGTATTCCTCACAGTAAAATAAAACATCTTCAGGTTAAAAAATGAAGGTTTTTTTCTACATATTATTGCTTTCCCACCTTTTAGTATTACACCATGAACATTGTATTTATTCTCTAATGTCACTGACAAGACAGAAGAGATGATGTATGATCTTATTTGATGTATAAGGTTGACACTCTGAATATATTTATAGCTGTCACTAAATGGCAAAGATACAGAATCTTATGCCATAACAACATGAACTATTTTAGGAGATCTTCCCAATTGTTGCATCAATATGTCTGCTGGTTTTGAAACATGAAATTTACATCCACTTCAAGAAAAGCAGACTTTTTTTCAATTTATTGGCATCAGTGTGTCCAAGAAAAAAAGTTTTCAGCAGAATCATCAATTTATATAAATATGTGACAGGAAAGTACAAAGACGACAGAGCCAGACTCTATGCAGTGGTACACAGTGAAAGGACAAGAGGTAATTGATACAAATTGAAATAAAGGAAAATCTATTTAAACATAAAGGAAAAAAAAAATTTACTGTGAGAATAGGAAACACTGAAGCACATTGCCCAGAGAGGTTGTGGAGTCTCCATCCTTGGAGATATTCAAACCCTGACTGGACAGTGTCCTGAGCAATCTGCTCAGGCTGAACCTACTCTGAGAAGAGAGGTTGAACTTGGTGATCCTCACAGGTCCTGTCTAACCTCAACAATTCAGTATTCTGTGATTTATGATATAGATAGTGGCTATGAATAAGCTTTCAATCAATATATACTTTTTTTTTTTTTAAATCAGTGTGACAGGAGGGAATAGAATTTTTGAAAATGCTGAGTTTTAAGGTGGTGAAAAGGGAAATGATGCAATTAAGAGATATCTCAACTTGCTGAAGTGAAGTCTTTATGGCAAGCTAATCAAGTACAGTCTTGGAATTCCCACCCTTTGATCACTACTATAGACGCAAATTTTTTTTTTGG